ATTGCACAGTTATAGAAAATATTGTTAAAAAAAGCCTACTTTTAAAGCCATCTTCTTTATAGCACCTCTGTAAGACAATAACCATGCGGCTTGCAGAGGCATAAAAATCTCTCGGGTAATTTTTAAGCTTTTAGAAACTGTTGAATTTCTTGCAAAACCAAGTTGTTAAGCTGCGGGTTTAAGCAGTCCATTTCCACCACATCATCCATACCTCGCAACCAAGTCAGCTGACGTTTAGCTAATTGGCGTGTGGCAAAAATGCCTCTTTCGCGTAACTCGGCCAAGTCATATTCGCCAGCTAAATATTCTAGCGCTTGCCGGTAACCCACGCAGCGCATCGCGGTGGATTCTGGCGTTAACATTGGGTATTTCACAATGAGCGCCCTCACCTCATCGACAAATCCAGCGGCCAGCATTTGGTCAAAACGCAAAGCAATACGTTCATGCAATATTTTACGCTCGCTTGGCACTAGGGCAATTTTTAGCAGCCGATATGGTAATGCAACTGCGCTTGAAGCAAGATGTAGCGCCGTCATGGTGCTGCCTGTGAGCCGATAAACTTCTAACGCGCGCTCAATGCGTTGCGCGTCGGTCGGTTGCAAACGCGCAGCGGTGGCAGGGTCAATTTGTGCTAAATTGGCGTGCAAGGCTGGCCAGCCATGTTGCGCCGCTTCTTGCTCAATTTGCGCGCGAACTTCTGGGCTGGCCTCTGGCAACTGGCTTAAGCCATGCTGCAAAGCATTAAAATAAAGCATGGTGCCGCCCACCAAAAGAGGCACTTTACCGCGCGCAGTAATTTCCGCCATCAAGCGCAGCGCATCATTTCTAAAATTGGCCGCTGAATAGGCGCATGTGGGAGAAATTAAATCAATTAAATGATGCGGTGCTTTTGCTAAAGATTCCGCATCAGGCTTGGCGGTGCCGATGTTCATGTCTTTAAACACCAAAGCAGAATCAACGCTGATGATTTCAACAGGCAGTTTTGAACATAACTCAACTGCAGCGCCCGTTTTACCGCTGGCAGTCGGGCCCATAAGAAAAATTGCTGGTGGTTTCATTAAAACATACAAGTAAAAAAATCGTGAATAGTGTAAATTTAACAAATTAAAAGCATTTGGTCTGCTTTTATCTTGCACAGAGGCTAGTATAATGATTTATAGATATTATCCACTTTAACCCAAGTAAGTTTTAACTTTTAATACGGGCTGAGATATGAATTTAGAAAAAGTAATATTTGGTTTTTTCATCGTTTTAGCGATGACGCTCAATTTTGGTTTTTTCTATGGAGACATTGACAACCCAGCGCACCATCATGTGTACGAGCTATATGCAGCCATTGTGGTGAGCTTGATAGCCACGGTACTCAAGTTTGGTGACCGCACCCACGTAGGCGCAATTTTGTTATCCACCAGTTTAGCTGCGGATTTACAGCTGATTGCTGCCGCTATTATATGGGCATCTTTACATGGCAGATACGACGAACAAGCGCTGATGGTTTATATCGTATCGCTTTCTGGTGGTGCCTTAATGGCTAATATTATTTCAGTCGTACTGCTGATTGCAGAAACCATTAGCCAAAGACGATAACTTTAAAGACGCTCATTTAAGTGCATTTTAAAATGCTTAAGCGCACAGATGAATAGCATTCTGTTTTTGATTTTGCGCCGCTTGCGCAAACCGCTCATTCTGATTATCGTCAGTTTCGCGATTGCTATTCTTGGCCTAACCCTCATGCCAGGGGTGGATAGTCAAGGCCAACCATGGCGTATGAGCGTGTTTGAAGCCTTATACGTTATCAGTTACACCGCCACGACTATCGGCTTTGGCGAAATTCCTTATCCATTTAGCCAAGCACAGCGTTTATGGACCACATTTTCTATCTTTTTAACGGTGATTCCTTGGTTTTATGCAGTTGGTAAAATCATCACCTTGCTACAAGACACCGCGCTAAAACAAGCCGCAGAAGCACAACGCTTTAGCCGTGCGGTACAATCAATACAAGAGCCTTTTTATATTTTATGCAGCTATGGGCAATCCGCCAGCCTGTTAGCAAAATCGCTTGACTACATGAACATGCGCGTGGTCGTCATAGAAGCCTCACAAAATCGCCTAGACGAACTCGAACTAACAGATACCAAACAAGTGATTCCGCACTTCTGTGGAAACGCCATGTTGCCAGATAACCTCATACGCGCAGGCATTCTAAACCCGCACTGCAGTGGTTTGGTTACACTCACCGATAATGATGAGGTCAACTTGGCGGTAGCTATCGCTGTTAAACTATTAAATCCGCATTTGCCTGTGGTTGCCCGAGCCGAGCGCGATGATATTGCCGCCAATATGGCATCATTTGGCACAGACCACATCATTAACCCATATGCACTATTTGGCGACCAACTCGCGATGCGAGTACATGCGCTAGGCAACTATTTATTGCATGAGTGGCTAACAGGGATCGTAGGTGAAACCTTGCTTCCTCCAGAGCCACCACCTCGTGGGCGTTGGATTGTGTGTGGTTATGGGCGATTCGGAAAGTCGGTTGTTGCAAACTTAGAACGTGAACATATCACCACCACCATTATTGAAGCCAAACCAGAACTCACAGGCTGTGAAAACTGCATTGTGGGTAGTGGTACAGAGGCTAAAACTTTAAAAGAAGCAGACATTGATAACGCTGTAGCGATTGTTGCAGGGACAGATAACGATATCAACAATTTATCCATTGTGATGACCGCTAATGAGCTTAATCCAAAAATATTTTTAGTGATTCGTAAAAATAATAGCCACAACACGGCGCTCTTTAAGCAGTTTGATGCGAACATTACCATGCAACCGACTTCTATCATCGCGCACGAATGCTTAGCCAATTTAATCTCCCCTCTGCTTGCGCAGTTTTTAGCTTTAGCGCGCCATCAAAGCAATGATTGGGCTAATCAAGTGATTAGCCAGCTAGTTTCTAAAGTTGGTGAGGAGGTCCCTGCCACATGGGCGATCACTATTAACCAAAAAATTGCACCAGCAGTCACTCAACTTATTAATCAAAATACCGCCGTTACCTTAGAAACGCTCACAAAACAGCCAACTGATTGCAATCAAGAACTAGATGTCACACCTTTAATGTTAGTGCGAAATACAAAGCCTACGCTTTTGCCAGCCCTTGATACGCCGCTGATGATAGGTGACCAAATATTATTTTGCGGACGACCTGAAACTAAAGCGTCTGTTGCCACTTTGCTAGAGCATGAAAAAACACTTACTTATATTGTAGATGGCACTGAAGCACCCAATAGCCTAGTATTTCGCTGGTTATTGGCAAAGAAATAAAAGCATAGCACTGAGTTGCACTGTCATTATTTACCCCGCATAAACATCTTATCCAAATCGCTCATGCTTACCTGAAACCAAGTTGGGCGTCCGTGGTTGCATTGTCCACTGCGTTCGGTGGCTTCCATATCACGCAGTAGCGCATTCATTTCAGGGATGGTTAAGCTGCGGTTGGCACGTACCGCGGCGTGGCAGGCCATGGTGCCTAATAGCTCATTGCGCCTTTCGGTTAACGCACGGCTGGCGCCAAACTCACGCAAATCACGCAACACATCGCGTGCGAGCGTGACGGCATCGGCTTGTTGCAGCATCACAGGCACACCGCGCACCGCCAGTGTGGTGGGCGATAAAATAGCAATATCAAAGCCCAGTTGTTGCAGGCTGTTGTCATTGCTCGCCAGCGCTTCATGCACGGCAGCCACCTCTAATTTATCGGCGTGAAAGCTCACAGGCAATAATAAAGGCTGCATGGCAACGCTTTTAGCATCCAGCGCATTTTTTAGTTTTTCGTACATAATGCGCTCGTGTGCGGCGTGCATATCCACCACCACCAATCCTTGCACATTTTGTGCAAGCACGTAAATGCCGTGAATTTGCGCCACGGCAAAACCGAGCGGAAATTCGCTTAAATTTTCATGATTATTTTGTGTATTTTCTGCCAGAGAGAAATTAGCACCGCTGTAAGCCTCATGTTTATTGGCTTGCAGAGCATCGGTTTGGATGTTTGGTGAATTTTCACTTTGAAAACGGTTTTGATGTCCAAATAAAGTTTGATAAAAATCCGTTGGCTGCTGTGCGCTTAAGTTAATTTTCGATTGGTATTTTGGGTACCCTTCGACAAGCTCAGGGCGAACGGTGTCTGAAGAGTTACCAGCAAAAGGATTATGCGCGGCCTGCCCAGCCGTAACTGCGTTTGATGCCCCTGTAGGCGTGGCCAAAGCCTTATGCAGCGAATGAAAAATAAAGCGGTGAATGGCTTGGCTGTCTCTAAACCGCACTTCTGTTTTTGCGGGGTGTACGTTGACATCCACCAGCGTGGGGTCGCACTCTAAAAACAGTACAAACGCGGGGTGACGGTCATGGTGCAATACATCTTGGTAGGCTTGACGTATTGCATGCGCAATCAGCTTGTCGCGCACAAAGCGGCCGTTTACATACACATATTGCGTATCGCGGCTGTGGCGGTTAAATGTGGGTTTGGCCGCCCTGCCCCATAGCCGCAAACCTGCTGCCGATTCATCTAAACTGAGGGATTCAGCAGCAAATTCATCACCTAACACCTCGGTAAAGCGGCGTTCAGGTGCGCCAATTGCATAGCGACTTAACACACGGCCATTATGCTGCAAGGTAAAAGCCACATCAGGTCTTGATAATGCGATGCGCTCAAAAGCATCTTCGCAATGACCAAACTCGGTGCCCTCTAACTTTAAAAATTTGCGGCGAGCAGGCGTGTTAAAGTATAAATCGCTCACTTCCACAATCGTGCCTGCATCTAGCGCGGCGGGCTCGATAGGCGAAATTTCACTGCCGTTTGAGGCGATACGCCAAGCATGCTTGGTATTTTGCTCGCGGCTTAAAATTTGTGTGCGTGAGATTGAGGCGATACTGGCTAAAGCCTCGCCCCTAAAACCTAAGCTCGCAACAGACTCTAAATCTTCCAACGTGGCAATTTTACTGGTGGCATGGCGTGTGAGCGCCAAACTCAAATCTTCTTGCGCAATGCCTTTGCCATTATCTGCCACCCGCAGTTGCTTAACACCACCTTGCATCAGCGCCACAGATACCTCGGTGCTACCCGCATCTAAGCTGTTTTCAAGTAACTCTTTAAGCGCCGATGCTGGCCGATCCACCACCTCGCCAGCGGCGATTTGGCTAATGAGTTGGTCTGGGAGTAATTGGATGCGCATGGAGCCACTATTTTACCCGTTTTAGGCAAAGTTGCGGTCTTTACGCTATCTTGCTGCTTGATCTATTGTTTTCCATAAATACTGCTATTTCAGCCTCATCAAATGTTTTAACATTATTACGACCAGAATTTTTAGCATGATAAAGTGCTATATCTGCACGCTCAATCAATTTTTCTATTGCATCACCTTGTTTGTAGTAGGCTAAACCAAATGAAGAGGTTACTTTAACAGTTTGACCATCAAACTCAAAGTGCTGCTCTGCAATTGTCTCACATAAACGTTGGATGATATATTTAGCTTCAAGCTCTTTAGTTTTAGGTAGCAAAATCAAAAACTCTTCGCCTCCATATCGAGCTACCGTATCTACTTCACGCAATTGTTGCTTAATTAAACTTGAGAAACGACGTAGCACTTCGTCTCCAGCAGGATGGCCAAAACGGTCGTTGATAGATTTAAAATGGTCTATGTCAGCCAGCACCGCCACAAAATTAGTTGGGTGACGTTTTAACTCTACAAACATTGTTTCTAGATAAGCCATGGCATAGCGGCGGTTATACACTTTGGTCAACTCATCGTTAGTTGCCATCATTTCAAGGCGATTTTGCGCAATTTTTAAATTTTCATTTTTAACAACTAACTCCATATTCGCTTGCTTAAAATTAAGTTGCAATTTTGTTAACTCATCAATATAACGCTTGTTTTGCAACTGATTATTAATTTGCTCTAATGAATGCCGATGGTTAAGTTGTGCGAAAATCACGCTAGATGCACCAAGCATCAATGCACCACTAAACCACCACTTGAATTGGTCGAAGTCCATTGCAAAGTATACTAATAAGCATAGTAGTATTGGTGTGACGAAAGTCAACATTCCTGTCCTAGATGCCGACATAATGGATGCTGAATAGGCAACCGTTACAGCTAGTATCGTGACGGCGAGTAAGTGATTGAGCGTCAAATCTCCTTGAGGTAAAAGAAAGAAACAGACAGACCCCCATGCAGTACCTAACATCAGTTGTATTGCAAAATGGAATTTACGGAAACGCGAGAAAGCTCGCTCGCTCATCTGAGTATTAAAAATCTTCATACTCAATAACTTAATTAGTTCAATAGATAAAATTAAGAGTGCCCAATACATCACCCGACTATATCCAGCGACTTGGAACGTTAACAGTATAATTTGCACCATCGAAATTACACCGACCATCGTACCTATACGAATATCGTTAAGATAACTTTCGAATAACGCTAAATTAAATTGATGTCTTGTGTTTTCTTGTGCCATATTAATGCTTAATTAAACTCTTATTGTTTATAAAGTTATTAAAGATATATTTACTAAAAGCATATATCATGCCAATTAATGTAATATTAACAGTGATGGGTTTGATTTTATTGCACTGTAATTGTAAATAATTGTGCTGAGCGAATTGCTTACCTTGGTTTTAGCCAAGGCAGGGTTACTGGCAAAGTATTTTTTGATACCTGCCAAAATAGAAGAGACCAATTTACTTTGATAAACTTCGTCGTTTAATTTACGTTCTTCTTCTGGGTTGCTAATAAAAGCTGTTTCCACCAAAATTGAGGGAATATCTGGCGACTTTAATACCGCAAAGCCAGCCTGCTCCACGTGATTTTTATGTAGTTTATTCACATCGCCAATTTTGCCAAGCACTGCCTTACCGAGCTTGAGACTATCATT